CAGCTTGTGCTGATTGTTCTTGATTAAGCTTGATAAAAATAGCCTGGCTGTGCGGGGATGCGGCTGGCCCTCGGCCCCGCCCATCACCCCTGTGCCAAGCAGTGTCCTGGGCCCCGCCTGTCACCCGTCTCCAGGGACACACCATGGGCCACCCTGACCCCCGAATCTAACCCACGATTGCCATGTGACCCAGTTACCAGGACGCTGGCACATGGGTGGGTGGGGGGCGCGCACTCCTGCCTGGAAACTGGTTTCCCCCCCACCCCCCGCCGCAGCGGCCTTCGGGTCTGACCATAGCGAGGCCGCCCCCTGAGCGCTGTCCTGGCGGACGTCAGGACCCGAGGTACCGCTGAAGCACTCCGCCTTGACTCTCGGACCCTGCGCCCACTCCAGGCCTGGGGCCTGCCCGAGGCCGGCCGGGGCACAGGAGGGGCAGGCGGGACGTCCCAGGGAGCCAGGCTGTGCCCACCTGCCCTTTGCCTGGACGGGGGTCACGTCTGGGGTCAGATGCACCTTCTCTCCAGGGTCTCCGTGCGCTTCCGTGGCGCCCGCTTCTCAGAGGTGTGTGCGGATCAAGGGGTGCCCTCCTCCTGGTGCGTCCCCCCTCCTGGTGCCCCACACAGCGCTCCCTCCCCTCGCTCCCTCCCCAGCCCTCCCAGGACTGGCACTTGGGGGAGCCCGCGGGGGTTTCAGTGCGGCTGCGTGTGGAGGGGAAGACGGGGTTCCGGCTGGCAGAGCTGGGCTGGGGCTGGGCCGGGGGGGGGGGCAGAGGTGGTCCCCCCGCAGGCCTGCCCGCAGGAGCGGGTGTGGGGCAGCCGGGGGCCCTCGCTGTGGCCGCTGAACGCGCTCCGCCTCAGGAGGGGACAGGACAGCCACGTGGCAGAGGCGGGGCCCGAGGCAGCAGGCGCTCTGGGTTTGACTGTCTCGCTGTGTGACCTCGGGCAGCCCGGAACTAGCCCTCTGGGCCTCAGTCGTCTCTGGTGGAAGAAGGGGCAATGGCCATGTATGTGATGACCACCGTGGCCAGGTCAGGGAAAACCTCTCAGGAAACACAGAAGCTTCTAGGCGTGACCACCAAGGCCACGTCGCGGGGAAAGTCCTCTCAGGAAACACAGAAGCTTCTAGGCATGACCACCGTGGCCACGTCAGGGGTGGGGGGGAATCCTCTTAGGAAACACACAGAAGCTTCTAGGCGTGACAGCCATGATGCTACGGCTCCGTCCCCGGTCCGGGCGGCCATCTGCAGACACAGCAGTGGCACGGGGACATGGAGGACACGTGATGGTGGCCAGTGCACGTGGCTGTTCCGTGTCTCCTTCCCGCTCCGACGACTCTGTGTGAGCCTGACGTTATCCCCAAACGAGCACTGAAAACATCCCAAGGCCACTCAGAATCTACGAACACGGGAGGGTCTCCGAGACACATCGTGAGTGAAAGAACACAAGTCGGAGGACACCAGGTACGGAGCGGGGCGCAAGGTGGAGGCGGCGTGGGGCGGAAGGGGACGCCTTCGTCACGGTGGCTCCCTTGGTAGCTTTTCGGTTGCGCTACCGTGTGTGCGAACTACCTGATTGGAAGCTCAGCCTGGTCTCCACTCTGCCTAGAACTCGTTTGTGGGCCTTGTGCGTAGAGCCGCACACGCAGTCATGGCGGCTCGCTTGGCTCACGCTCCGTATCTGGACTTGGGATCAGAACGGACCCCTCTGTTCCTGACGCCAAGAGGGTTAACTGCCTCGCCTCCTGGAGCCGGACCGGGCTGGCCGCCTGGACTGCATCACGGAGGGAAGAAGGATGCGCAGCCGCCCAGGTTCCTGGGATAGTGATGCCGTAAGAGAAGCAGAGAAGACCCAGCTGGCTGGGGACGGCACCGAGACAAACTTCGTGACCAACCAGGGACCACACACGGGCGGTGTATCCGTCGCCCTGGCGGGAAGAGCTAGCTGGAAGCCTCCCCCGAGGGGAGGACGCTCTGCCCAGGACCCTCAATCGGGACCCCACCCGGGCCGTTCACCGTGGGGCCTCCCCAGCCGGGAGGCTGGATGGGGTGAGCACCCGATGTGATGCGTGAACCCTTCTCCCTCCTTCTCCGTACTCTCTCCCCCTTTATGTTTACTCTGTTTACTTCCATACATTCCCTTTCCCTTATAATCGATACAGTTTTCCTCCATGAAACAGAAAGTTTAGCTGTGGTGAACTACTGTCATTCAGAACAAGCTTTAAAACAGAGAAAACGATTAAACGAAGGAGGGCATCCACGGACGGGGTGCTCACAGATGGTCCAAAGATCTGAGCTGGCCACGGGGGACCCCCAGGGACGCGGGAGATTGTCCGACCGTGCGGGTGCAACCACAGACGTGGGCTCCACGGGCGTTCTGTTGGATGAGAGAAGCCTGGCTCCGCAGAACTGCGCGGCCCGTGTGACTCCATCCACGTGATGTCGTAGGACAAGCAAAGGTCACCTTGGCGATGGACGCAGGGGTGGGGGCTGCCTCTGGGGACGGGCACGGGCCTGTGCTCCTGGCCGGTGGGAACGTTTCCCGGAAGGTCCGTGCGTTATGCCGCATTCCCGTCACACCTCAATAGCATCGGCAAGATCTCCATCCGACTCGAAGCCGGAGACCAAGAGGTCTCTCTGGGAGCGCTTGTCTGGAGCCGATGGGCTGCGTCTACTTTGGCTCCTGGTGTATTAGGCGGCGGCCGACCATCTTGGGCGTAAAAGAATCAGGCTGTTTGGGGGCAGGAGGGTGGGCGCAGGCTCTGGTCTGCCCCATGCCGGAGCCCTCTGCCTTTCCGCCTGCCGCTGCAGCCACCGGTCTGTGCCATCGCCTGCCCTCCCCGGGTGGCGACACCTTCTCCAGGGCACCCGGGTGCAAGTGAGGACCGGGATCTCGAGGCAGGTGGGGGCTCTGAGCACCCTGTCCGGTCTCTGGGAGCTTTTGCCAAACCCCGTGGTGGCTGGAGGTGACCAGGAGGGCTGGGCTGAGTCCTTGACTCCCCGGGTCGCTATGGTGGCCCATGCCCGGAAGCACATCCTTCACTACCAACAGGGACAGCTGGCTTGGTTTCCTTCTGCCCTGTTCCCATGGCGACAGTGGAGGTCCCGAGGCTGTTTCCTGGGGGTCCTGGCGGTCACGAGGGCTGGTGCCACCGCCCCAGCAGACAACAAGGGTTCGCAGTTGGCACCAGGACACGAGCGTATCCCCGGGAACAGTGTCCTCTTGCCTGGGCACCCGCCCGGGACCACCTGAGACCCCTGAGGCGGCAGGTGGGTTCTGAGTGTCCAAGGTGCCCACCCACTCGGCGCAACCGCCAGGGTCGATGTCAGATGCCTGGCGTGGTGCTGGCTCCACTCCTCACTACAAGGTCACCTCTGGGAGGCGTCCTGCTCCCGAGGGTGCTGTGGTCACAGGCGCTAGCGCGGGCCTGGCATGTCCAGAAGACAGGTCTGCCCGGCCAGGTGTGCGCCAGGCCCTACTGGGGCCTGCACCCTGGGCATTATTCTCCTTCCAGGGTCGCTCGGGGCCGCTTCACCCATGTCCAGACTCCCCGGGACATTGGCCCAGGGCCTTTCCCGCCATTGCCCACTGGCCCAGGAGAGCAGGTGGCCGCGGAAGCCAGCCCGCTCCTCGCCAGGTGGGCTGTGTGGATCAGCAGCTCCGCCCGCGTGCAAGCTACCGTCCGCCCGCTAGATGGCGCTGCGCCCCCACAGGCAAGGCCACCCCGCCGGTTCCGGGATGTGGGAAGTTGGGGAGGGGGGTGGAGGTACAGGGGTGTGGGGTCTGGGGACTCTGTGGTTCGGGGA